TAATATCAATCGACAATTAATTGCAAAAATAACCTTGAGGGTGTGGGTGTGTTATGGTTAACATACCCACACCCTCCGATTATAACTGTGGTTTGCTGTAAAATAATAAAATTTTCACTGGGCAGTTCTGTGTAATAGAATAAAGGCGTTTATTTATTTTTTTGTTATCCTCTAGAATTAGTTGTTTTTCTTTTAACCCAGATTCGCATCCTCAATCAATTCATTTTTAATCAACTATTCTTTACTTATTACTTTATAGTTATATCACATGAAATTCATGCAAATAATCATTTTAATAAATATACAAATTTTTATTTCATTATAATAGAATAGAATAAAATGGATCAAGAAAATAAATTACTTCTGAATTAAGATGAATTTTTGGAGAATAAAATAATAACATAACTATATACATAAATTTAGCTAGTATGTCGAAAGATCACAAAAAAAAATAAAGAATGATTTGTCGAAAACAATTATCAAAAGAAAGAAAAAAAATAAGTTAATCACTCCATAAAATTACTCGTCGATGTTTTTCACAAGAAGCAACATATCTTCCTTCCGGATGCCATGCTACTGATGTAACCATTGTCCTAGAGAAAAAAAAGAAAGGATAATTGAATTAATTAATAAATTAAATTGAGATTTATTTCATACGTATGATTTTTAAGTAATACTTTTTCACAAATACCATTTGTTGTATTCCATATAATTATAGATCCATCTTGAGAACCAACACATGCATAACGACCATCCGGTGATAAGATAGCTTTAGTTGTATCAGTACTTACTTGAAAATGATCATGATTAAATGTATAAATAACATTATTTTGTCTTAAATCAATTAATTTAAGTGTATCATCTTTTAAACATGCTAATAATTGTTGTCTCTCTAGAAAATAAAAAAGAATTATTAATAGTTGATAAGGAAAAGAAATAAGTTTTTTTTTCTAGACCTGCATTGTATGATAATGATGTTACTGACGCATCATATTGTAGTTCAGTTCGACATTTATCTGAAGATGTATCCCATATACGAATTTTCTTATCATAATGTCCACTTATGATTGTACCAGATGCATCTTTTATAACTAAATCATGACATTTTGATCCAGCAAACAATGTTTGTATACCTTAAAAAAAAAAGAAGAAAAATATGAAAAATGTTTTGATTTTTTTTAAAGTATAGTACATTGTCGACTTTGTAAATCCCATATTTTAATTAATCGATCAGCACTACCAGTTGCTAATTTTGTTCCTGATATAAATTTACATGTATGTATAACTTTCTCATGACCAGCATATACATCTTTAAGCATTCGATTATCACCATAAGACCAAATATAGGCTTTTTCACCTGAACAACCAGCTAATAGACGACTCTAATATTAATTCAATGATTAAAAAAGAAAGTATTAAATAATATTAATAAATATTTTATTTACTCCTTCATTATCAAAATCAAGTGCGTTGATTGCACCATGACTGCCATGAAGCGTACAATATTTATATGGTTGACCTGATGATGCAATTTCCCATAGATAAATCATTTTATCACTACATCCAGTAGCTAATATTGAACCCGATGGTTGAAATAGAAGAGTATATACTTCTAAATCAGTGCAGTCCTAAATAAAAATAATCTACTAAGATTGCAATTTTTAAGACATTAAACCTTTCCTTTACGTAGAATTTTCGTTACAATTTATCTTAAAGAGATTTAATTTTGTTTTTACTCTTACCCAATGATGAAGTTCACGTGTTGGAACTGAAGCTGCCGCACAAAATGTTGATGTTCGATAAAGTCTATCATTTGCTACATTGGTTATTCCAAGATTGAACATACCTTTGACCTTTGAAAATATATTTCCTCCAACAAGAGATATATTAGTTGTAGTATTTCTTCTATCATGATTATAAGATTCACCTGTAGAATTTTGCATTGTATCTTGATCATTTGTTGATGACTTATTTGTATTTACTAAACCAGATGTACTGAAATCAGACGAACTTGTGCGAGATGTTGTAATCACTACTAAATCACCATCAATAATATTGGATTCTCTACGAACTCGATCCCGTCTATAACAAGAAAAAAATTATGAATTCTTCTTTTCTTTATTTTTAAAAATGGGTGGATTAACTTATTATATCGTTCGACTTCTGCATTAAGCATTTCCAATTGGACCCTTTTACATTCTATTAATTCATCTTCACGTTGTTTATTTATTCTTCTTTCTGTTTCTAATTGTTGTTCAAATTCTAGAAAAGCCGGTCTCATTCGACTATAATCTATTTGTAATAGATCAAGTCTATTTTGTGCAGCTATAAATTCCTCTCGAAGTATCTAAAAGTATCAATATTATAGAAATAAATCAATAATGAATATAATAATTATTTTACTCGATTTATATTTATATAATCATTTAATTCGGTCTCAGTTTTCTCCAATTTCTGAATTAATTGCTCGTTTTCATTTTTATATTGTTGAACTCTTAACAAAAAAAAAATATTTAAATCTTAAATAATTAATTTCTTAATTGTTAATACTTACTTTGATTCTTCGTTAACTAATTTATCAGACATTTCACTCAATGCACGATTAAGTCGAAGAACTTCTCCAGCAAGCTAAAGACAATTTTTTTTTAAAAATAAAATCTTTTCTATATTACTTACTTCTCCTTTTTCACGTAAATGCATCACAACTTCTTCTGTCGCTACTGATAATTTACTGCTTGTATTTGCTAATTCTTGACTAAAGAATAACAATAGAATTATTCTAATTTCATAAGTAAACAAACCTAGCTTCTGATGCTTTTTCTAATCCGGCATTAGCCAAACGTAAATGACCAACATCTTTTTCCAATTTAGCACATCGAGTTTGAACAAAAACATGATTATCCAAAAGACGATTATCTATAGAAAATTTATTTTTGAATTTCAATAGAATAAATAAATATTTATATACAATGTTCTATAATTTCATCGAAAATATTCCATTGATGTTTGTGAGTTTTTAATTGACCAACTATATCTGATTTCCAATCCATTATTTCACGGATAAAATTTGTCTATAAATTTCTATATTCAATCATGAATGACAAATACATTGAAAAAGAAAAGATAAGGATTCCCAAGGAAAAAATATACAATAGAGATAAACTTAATAAGAATGACTAATAATTTTGTTTTGACAGCAAGCAAATAAATCTCATCGTGTAGACACATTCGGTAGAGGTCGTAAACTATCACATAATAAAAACGTCAATGAATTACATATAATCATATCTTTTTATTAAATCAAAATAAATTTTTTTGCAAATAGATAACCTATGATAAAATCTTATTTGTCATTCTCATATATTCTAAGCTA